AGAGTTTAGATAAAATGATGAATGTTTGCTCTTCTAATTAGAGAAAAAATATTTGATTTAGGTGTTATATAATCTTGTAGACACGCTAACCAGATTTTATGCCCTTCAAATATTTAACAGCAAATGTATTTACCTGCATTGCATGAATCATCCAATCTATATGACTTAGCTCAATGTGTTTCTTGTTTTGTAGATAGCTTATGCCAAGATTTAAGGTCTCCATGAATGGTGATCAGGGAGGGTATAGGATGGGAAATAAGAAATTTCTGCCATTGATGTTTCTTTTGTTGGGGATTTTGCTCTTTTTGTGGAACGGTGGTGTTTATGATCATTATCCAAAAGAGACTAAGCACATTGACACACAACATTTAATGTGGTTCGATAAATTACCTATATCCATGGGAGTAGTATATATTATTAGAGATAGAGAAAAAATACAACACACGGAGAAGGATGACATCCACTCAATTCCCATCTCTCATTGCTATATAGGGTTGTTGCTGCGTATAGCAGCAAGGTTACTGGTGGTAGTCCTTCTCTATTTCTCTCTTCTTCTCTTTACTTTGTTCTAACCCTCTCATTTTATGCTGCACTCTTAGTGTCTATTTATAGATTTCAATGACAGCTCCTTCTACACTTGTCAACAATGGTGGTTGCTCTTTTTGTTAATGGTTAGTGTAGCTTCTTTTGACATTAACAGCTGCCACCAATAACCCACCATTGTAGCCTCCTTCTTTGATAATGTTAAAAGGCTGCAAATGTTGCACCAGCAACCCTTTTTGACTCTCACAAGTTGGCCTTCTTTATTTGATAATGAAAGTCATTTTCTTTGACAATGGCACCAACATAATTGGCAATATTTCAACAATCACCCCCTTTGTCATTTATGTGGGCAATTGTCCTCTTGTTTTTTCAGCACACACTTGCATCTTGCAGCTCTTTCACGCTTACCATTTTGAGAGCATCTTTGGCCAAGTTTACAGGTACTCGTCAAACCTTTCAATTATCAGAGTAACTAAAATACACCTTTTCTTACACAAAAGAACCATTACAACCAGATGGTCTACCACATCACATCTGAATAGTGTTAACGCTTGTCATTAAAGGTTGATCCATATTTGTCTTCATACTCTGAGTATTATAATGTCATTACCAAGCTCACCACTTTCACAATAGTCAACTTGTTCTCGGAACCTGTGCATGTCCTCTGCTCATTTCTAACAGTCGTGTCTTAATGCTCTACAAGTTATCCATTTATTGTCCAAGACAAATGTTATCTAGCTCATTGATCTTTAGCTTAGGGGCAATATCAATGAAAATCAATCATGTATTTGTCTCCATACTCATCATAGCCACTTCATTGGCTATCCATATGCATCTGTCCACTCATATCTAGCCATCACATTGGCTTTGGGGGGTTCTAAACTAGACTCCTTCCACGACCCTCACACCTTCTTATGAAGTATCTTCGTTCATCGTCATGCGACGGTCTGAAATGAGGCTTCTATCACAACCCTCACACCTTCTCTAAGGTGTTTTTGTCTGTTGTCATAAGGCAGTCTAAACTGGGGCACCTATCATGACTCTCACACCTTCTCTAAGGTGTATTCGCCTTTCATAGGCGGTCACATCTTTCTTTAGTTGGGATGCTTCAAAGTGGCTCCAAAAATTCTCTACCACCATGTGAACTATGGGAGAGATAACTGCCACTGATCACACAAAAAGAGAAAGTTGCGGCATACTCATCGCAATCCTCCACTTTGATTTCTATGTTTGGAGTTTTTAAACCTTTTTACTTGATAGCTCCACCTACACCAACTTTTTTTTGGTTTCTTCACCTTTCATCATAGGCGGTCGCCTTTTATCACAAGCATTTGCACCCCCTCAATTAGGTGCATCTACAACAACTCTCTTTCCATCTTTGTATGCATTGGAAAGGTCTTCGCATGTTGTCTTTATCAAGAGCACAAGAGACTTCCTGTTGTATAATTTCTACATAGTCTCTGCTCTGAGCTTCATCTGGGAACACTTCTTCTTGCACCTGCTGTCTCATTACAGTACTTCATTGGATCCTATGGGTAATCCTACACAATCTTCATATGCCCTCGTGCAATTTCTATTCTCCAGATTTCTCTATATTCCTTGCTTATGTTTGACAGCAGCTCATCATGTCACAGCACCTGTCCAAGTCAAAATAGGGTGTCAATCTTCATCTCCTTGCTGTATTTCTCTACCATTATCAAGGTCTTCATCAATTCTCCCCTCGAGAAATCACAGTCACCGAATCTAACTTCTTGGAGAAATCACCACTTTATCAGATCCTTGAACATACGGAACCCAACTGTTTCTTTATGCCATCATTTTGCTAGTTTTCAATCGTTTCATTACTAACTGCTATATTTACGAAAATAGTACCTTATGGATAATCCTTTAACTAAGCAAGCTCCTAGAAAAGATTGGAGGGGTCATACTGATCTTGCTTAAAACCCAATCTCCCAGACAAAACTTCTTACGCCATATTTATCCATCGTACTGTCTTTTTGTATATACAACCATTTGCTAGCTTTGTCCCGGCTTTCGTTTGCAAATGATCTAGAGTATCCTGGTTTTATACATGATTTCTCAACATCTAGCGAGATTACTAATACTTAGATTCGTCAAGATTGGTCTTCATCAAATTTCACTTTCTACCTCAAATCGTCCACATGATCGGGTTTCCAGAGTATCCCAATTTTACCTTCCCTCAAGGCAATTAAAATTCCCCACTTAGTTGTTTAACACATGTAATTGGGCAAACATATACGATTTTTTCTTTTTCATCTACATCGACCACCATAATGACCATCAGATGCCTCCTGATTGGGCAATCTCTCTTCAATAATTCACCACTGCTATTTCTGGTTTCAATCTTAACCATCGGATCGTACCATTGCATCTAGAATGATCAAATTAGCTGGAAACAAGTTTGAACTCGTCCAAATCGCATTTTAAACGGCTACAATTTGATCAAAACAATTCTGGCTTGATGAATGGCTCAGATTCAATCTTAGATCCGATTACACGTAGGATCATCTACACTTGATCATATCCCTCAGCTTGCAGCTTGGCTCAAAACTGGCTCGGCTCACTCGACTCGGCTCGTGCTGATGACGTGGGCCCCTGTGATGATGTGTTAGGTGATTAAGCGCTGGCATGACATGCTTACTGTGCATGATGACATCACAACTATATCATGCTGATGTCATTGCTGACGTCACAATTATGTCATGCTGAAGTCATCAATATTTGGGTCAATCACATAGGTCAAGTCTACTGGTATTCGGGTCGGGTCAGCCCATCCGGGTGAAAAAGAAGCGTGAGGCGCGTCTGCGCTGGTAGACTGCCACCTCGTCGGCGTGTGGGGGAGCGTGCGGGCATGTCCAATATTTTCACTAATGGCTTCATTTCTTCCTCCTCTACATAATAATATGGTCACTTTTTTTCTCTCTTCTTCTCTTCCCTTTACTCTAACCCTCATTTTATGCTGCACTCTTGGTGTTTATTTATAAGTTTCAATGACATCTCCTTCTATACTTGTCAACAATGGTGGTTGTTCTTTGTTAATGATTGGTATAGTTTCTTTTGATATTAGCAACTGTTATCAATAACCCATCATTATAGCCTTCTTCTTTGATAATGTCAAAAAGTTGCAAATACTGCACCAGCAATTCTTTTTTACTCTCATAAGTTGGTCTTTTTTCTTTCACAATAAAAGCCATCTTCTTTGATAATGACAGCAAGATAATTAGCAATATTCCAACATCTTTCTGATGGATGAATCGGCCAATGATCTGTGAAAAGCAGGGTTTGCCCATGTCATCTGTTATGTGGAACGACACGGCAGCCATGTTGCATATTTAGAGGAAAGCCAATATATCAAAAGAATGCTACTTATTGCCATAATTCATGTGAGGTGCAGCCAGATTCTCAAACGTAGTGCCTTCAAGTTTTCAGAGTTCAAGACAGTTTGTCTGCGCTGTTATAAAAACTCAGAGATGTACTTTGTCAAGGTTTATGTTTGAGATGTCAGACAACAATAAACAATTAAATATTTGAAGTCTTGTGTTACGTGATGATTTTGTAAACTTGAAATTGCCTCTTCATGTTGCCACCCCCCACGGTCACTGCCCACCGAGCTTGGATATACTTGTCATTACATTCTTTATTTCATCTGCTATCTTTTATGGACATGACTCCTCTCTCACTACGTGAATTGCATTGAATCGCAATGGTTGCATGCAAAACTGCATGCACTGTAGGTGAGAAATATAAAACAAATTCAACTGGATCCGAAATGATTTGCGTATTGAATAGGATTGGATGTTGTTTGCATATTCAAACTTCTCATTCCCGCTCAACAATGTGTTACTACGGTAAAGTAAACGAGTGGAAAACTACTTGTTGAAGGTGATTCCTTATTTTCTTTCATGGAAAAACACGCTTACCATTCATATATAAGCGAGTTTTCGTTAGCGATTGAAGGATAAGATTTTAAATCCATCGATCTTTCCTTTCACACAGCCACTTACCCAACAAAAAATTTGCATCTGAGTGTGGAATTTGGATGGAGGAGCTCGATGATGAAGCTTTTATTAAATCTATGTAAGCTTCCATATATATTTCTTCTTCAAAAGCACTAGGATCCGCATTTGAGCGCTTTTGCATTGCTGGCGTGCAACATCTTTGTATTGGCTATGCCATAATATTTTGATAGACAGGTGAGGGTATATCTTAGAGAAAACCCAACATGCTGTAGAAGTGTTTGATTGGGCCACTGCTTGATACAATCTATAATTGATACTAGATTTCAAAGGATGAATATTCTTCCAATTTGGTTCTTCTGCAATGTAAACCAGATGTCGATTCATAAAAATTCCTTGACAACACTAATGCATACACAGAAATCTGAACCAATTCTGTAGTTCAATTCAAGACCAATGCCAAAATCTCAGGGAACTCTCTTTTTTTAAGAGAGAAGAATTGATCAGAAACGAATATGAAGTAAAAAAGTTACACGGCTGGAGTCTATTTGCCCATCTCCTGACTATAACATTTTGCTATAACTTGCCAACAACAACAACAAAGCCTTGATCCCCAACTAGTTGGGGTAGGCAATATGTATCTTTTTACACCACTCCGTGTGATCATGAACTTGCTTTACCAAGGTGCATAATATATACCTAATTACATAGAAAGCAGAGAAGGAATGAACAAATCGATGCGATAACTCGAAACTAGACTCCCATTATCACACTTGAACATGCAACAACAAATTACAGCCTGAATCATAGATTGGCAGGGACAGGCCTTCCGCTGGCAACCAATGACACAAGACTTGTAAGATACTGGTGGTTTCAATGTTAAACCTTCAAATTTCTTCCTCAAAAATTTTGAGTAAGAAATCACGAAATCGCCTTGAATACTGCTTAGGATCGACCGCTGAAATTGAGGTTGGATCATATTGGATGGACTTGTATGCATGCTCTAGCTTCTTGCTAATGTCATAGTCTTGAAGTATGTCAATTATACCAAAGAACATTACAACTTCATAAAGCTCTCCAGTTGGCTCTCCTACAAGAAGATACTCACAATCACTTCTTCTTACTGTTCTTTCAGCTCGTGCTGGCATGTTTATACCCAATTTGATTCGAGACCACCTGCATTACCCAATATACAGTTAACATCAGCATGTAACTTCTTTGTCTGAAATTTGTATCATAATGGTTCAAAAACTTTAAGATTTGTGTAATGGTCAAATGAAAAGGTATTTTACATGTCAGGGTCTAGAAGAAGCTGATCCATATCTGCTCTCGAAAGGCGAGGTCCATCGTCACTTTCAGTTTCGCCTGCAGATTAAGAACTTAACTGTGTCTTGCTTGTTGAGAAATAAGCGAAGTTTTATTTGAAAATCAAGCCATCATAATCCTGAGAAAGGATGAGAAATAACCTGGAGGTGTCCGCATTCCAGAGGTAATCAGATCTCCGTTTGGTGATACTTCTCTAAAATGAAGACCCACCAAAAGACTATAGTCCATAATTCTCTCCTGTTCAAGAAACTCACAGTCCCTATCCACTTGCCTGTAAAATCAATTACACAAGCCCAACAGAAGTACGTGAAGGGAAATATAAAAATAACATTAGTCCCTATATGTTGGTTCCAGGAAATCAAATAAAAAGAAGAGAATTCTACCAGTCCTTATAAAATCTTAATTAAAGCTGCTGGACTCTTAGTAATACGGGTTAAATACACTTAACAGTTAAACTATCACCTGCAAAACTCTTGAAACCAAGCTTTCTGTAGTCTGAATATGAAGTTCAGATCAAGGTCTTTGAGGATAGTGGTTGCTTCAATCTCCGATTCTGGCTTATCCGTGGTTCGACCAAGGGAAGATCCTTTCAGGTCGAATCGTCTATGGATGGTATATTCAGAACAGAAGAGATTTCCCATGATGATGAAGCGTACCTGGATCATATACTGAATTATATATTTTGCTACACTAAAACACATACTAATGTTGTCCTTGTTGTTTCATGTGAATTTCTAGCTGAATAAGTTATTCTTCCTAGCATTGGTGGCAAATATACCTTCTTCTGAGCAGTCCCATTTAACTTAACACAATGCAGACCATAAAATTTGGTCACTAAGGTGTTCTCATAGGACCTGACATGGTTGTAATAGGCAGGAAGCATCCTTATTAGCACCTGTACCATAAACCAAAATGTAATCTGACCATGGCTAATAGCTAGAGTTGATTTTCTAACAGATACATGCATGCAGAAAACTTCATGACTCACTTTTGCTTCTGATTTTTTCATTGTCTTTATCATGTATCGATCATCATTCGTCAAGTAAAAAAAACTACCACTTTTTCCAGGAGATGAGAGCTCCCGAAGCGCGTCATTTCCGCAGATGGATAGCATGTAATCTGCTGGATCCACCTTGAACAGTTTCCTCAGAGTCCTGAAGAGGGACAGGATTGGTGACAATGTTTGCTTTTTAAGCAAGGGAATCGGTCAGCAAAACAGAAGAAACAGCAGCAGCACATATAATGCAGAGTCTATACCTGAAAACCAATGGGCAGTAGTCCTTCCATTTGAATTCCGTTGACTGGTGCGGCGGAGTGTATTTGCTTCCTTCTGGAGGAAATCTGGTCCATACTTTTTCCTTAGGATCAAAAGCTGAAGCCTTCAGGTCTAGGGATGCAGAGGGAGCAGGTCTTCCAACAGAATGCCTGTGCAATCACTCCATATCCAACAATGAGTAACAGAAGAATTGAGATTTGCAAAATGCATCCTAAGATTCCCTGATTGACCCATCTGAGGTAGCCTCAGGCGGCAATATAGGTGATTAGCTTTGACGAAATAACAAGAAAATTGTAACGACCATACAAAATTTTTGTCCAAACAAGAAATGAATAAGCAGCTGAACTCCATAAATAGAGCCTTAACAATGTAAGTAATACCTGATTCCTAGCTGTAGATTGAGCATAAGTTCATAATTCTTATGCCCTTTGGATATTGTCTCTCCTTGTCTCTTACAAGTTTTCGGTAATCTCATAATTGGCATCATCTTTGGAATCCCTTCCTCAACATTTAGACCCAATAAATCAGCATCCGAAAATCTCCCACGGTCACCAGAAGTACTAGTATTATCCTCTCCCTCCCACATATTCATCCTATCAAATGCCCTCTCTATGCCCACACTTACCCTCCCATCAACAGACATCCTCCTGGGCTTGTCTCCACCGCCTTTCGATGAATTCCAAACTGCAAGCTTCTTCTGAGATGGCAATACTGAAACCCTCTCCCCGGGACAAACCTGAGAATCAGACAAATGAACCTTGTACACCTCCTGAGGATCCCATTCAAGACCTTCTACGGATGACTCTGAAGGATAATAAGTCCCATTTTGTTCACTTGGATCCTTACTCCAATTCCCCACATAAAAACTCCCATCAATCCATTTGAATGTTCCATTCCCTTTAGGCAAACCATCTTCCCAATTTCCATCAAACTTATTCCCATTTGTCCACACAAAACCACCCTTACCACACATTAAACCATTCTTCCATTCACCAACATAATGGTTACCATTCTTCCATTCATATTTCCCATTTCCCTCTTGAAATCCGCGGCGCCATTCGCCATCATACCAGTCTCCATTCGAAAAATGCTTTAAGCCATGACCATGTTTCATGTTCATGACCCATTGTCCTCTATATGTATCCCCATTAGACCCGGTATATGTACCAATTCCATCCATATATCCACTCTTAAATTCTCCCTCGTACGTAGCTCCAGAAGGCCAACTAAACCTTCCTCTCCCCATCGTTTTTCCCTTGTACCACTCGCCGACATACATGCACCCGTCGGTCCATAAATATTTGCCTTGTCCATGAGGGAAATTATCATACCATTGCCCTGTATAATAATCCCCATTAGGCAAAATCTTCTCAGCATGATAAGGCTCCGCCAAGTTTCTATTATCATTGTCATCATCATTATCATCCTCGGCATGAGCTATAGAGATCGTTCCAAAGATGCTATTTGCTCGTTTCTTCGCAGCTTGAGTCTTGCGTATCGTGGCCTCCCATGCCCTGAAAACAGTGCTTTGTTCTTTGCTCATTTTTTCCAATGCCTTGCTCTTCACGTTAATACACGAACATGACATGAGATCATGATGATGAAAATAAAAACAAAAAAAAAAACGAAGAAGACGTAGTAAAATCAAAATATAAAAATGGGGTTAAGTTTTAATATCAAAGAATGTTTCATCTTACACCATTTCCTGTTTCTTTTTGTTTTTGTGAAGGGACCGAAAATAGCTATTGAAACTAGGAGACGCTCCTTTTTCTTCTCAAACCAGAAACAAATGTTTGAGTTAATTTTTTTCCTCCACATTTTATTTACTTTATTTAATATTTGAACTGTAATTTATTCTTACGCTTGAGTGCACCTCATTTTTGTAAAAGTGATAGTGTAAATGAGACATCTGTCACATCTTGGGACTAAGAGATTAATTTATGATTAAGATTATCACTCTCACAATTTGACCTAATGTTGGAGCTATGGTGGTCTTAACCTTAATCCCTAGCTTATGATTCTCTTAAATTAATCTGCATCCTTATTATGATACCTAATAAGGATAATTAGTTGTCTTGTAATCCAATTAAGAAAATCTGAACTTTGCATGACGAATTTTTTTATTATATGAGAACCCATCATCTAATTCTAGTTTGTGTACAGAATCATGAACTAGCTATGATGATCTTGCAGTAGTTAGGGATCAAATTATGGGGTTAGAGAAAATATTAATTCTCTCTCGAGCTAGAAAATAGAGATTAGAATTGTTTATCTCCTGCATCCTCTAAACACGGGAACCTGAGGGCCGAGAGAAATTAAGGGACCTTATACTATTCTTAGCCCTTTGGGTGTTTTGGTACAAAAGTAGCTTCTAATTTTTGTGACTCAACTTTTTATTTGGAAAATATTTTATAAACAAAATATATATATATATATATATATATATAAATGTTAAAATTTAATAAAACTAATCATTTATCATGTGTCATGATAAAATAAACACTGCCATTTTTTTTTAATGTTTTACTTGTTTCGATAATTAAATTATTTATTTTCTTAAATCCCAACTCAAGAATCTTGAGGAAAAAAAAAAGTTTTGTTTAGTTACTGTTATAGAATAGAAAAACATATATATGAAAGAATAAAACCATTTGATTAAAGAGATTAAGATAGGAATATAAAATAAATTTATTTTTGAAATAGTTTTAGAGTGAATATTTATTTTTTTAGTGGATTTTTTAATGTCTCCTTCTCTTTTGTCTTGATATAATAACCGAATATTTTTTATTTTTTTATTTTATAATAACAAAAAAATACTTAATTTTTATCAATATTAATGACATTGAACACCATTTATTATAATTCTTTAGATAGAAAAACTCTCTCGTTAAAAATGCATAAGGTAAAAATTATCAGGACTATATGGAAGGCTTGAGAAGAGGAGATTCTTGAGCTAGTACCCGTAGCCTAGGCAGGTGCAATCTACTAGGAACTTTATATATATATATATAAAAAATAGATAGAAAATCTCAGCTATCGTTTTCTTGGTATTGAGGCAAAGGGACCCCCGGGAAAAGATGTCACATGACTCCTATATTTAGCATGTACAATATATATATTTTTATTAATATATTATTATCAATTCGATTTCACTTTATGATTCGGAAAGCTGAAGCTCGAGCTCGGAATGAGCTTTCGAGTTCAATAACTCAAGCTCAATGGACCTGCATGTGTGATGACCCGAGCTTGAGCAGAGTATATCAATATTGAAGAGGGTGTTTTGGGTGTCTTAATTATAGTTTATTTAAAAATTATTTTTATATTTTTAAATTGTTTTAATATTATGATTCTAAAAATTAATTTTTTTAAAAAATATTTTTTTATTATTGTTTAATACACTTCCTAAATTTATTCAGTTAGAATATTAGCAAAATTAGCTATAAGATTCAGTTCGTTAGGTTAATTTAAATTTTGGCTTGAGCAGGTTTTACTTCAAGATTTTTATTTTTAATAAAATGATAATGTTTTAATTTTATTATAATCTTTTTTATAAAAAAAAAAACATAAGAGGGCCTAATCCACATAATATACAACTTACCTCTTGGTTGTTTATTTTTATATTTTAAAAAAATTAAATTTTTTATTTTAAATTAATATTTTTAAATTATTTTAATTTATTAATATTAAAAATAAATTTTTTAAAAATAAAAAATAATTTTTTTAATAAATTTCTAAATAAAATATATTTTAAAAAATAATTCCAACTACACACCCAAATAACTTTTATCTCGAATCGATCCTTTCGAGTGCTTCCATGTCGGAAGTCTCTCTGGGTTACAAAAACCCCACCAGCATCAAACAAACGTTTCGTTTTTTCTTCTTGCAACCGGCTAACCGGCTGTTCCAGTAACTGGCGGTTACGATGAAGAATCAAAGAAAAATAATTAGCGGCAAAAAGAAAGGGAAAGGAAAAACAAGAATTCAGTAACTTTTCTTGAATTTTAGAGAGAGAGAGAAAGAGAGAGAGAGAGAGAGAGAGAGATCAACTATGTGTGCGATTCTTGTTCCATGCTTTTCTTTTTTTAGCAAAATCGAGATGTTATTGTTTTCGTAGCAGTATTTTCTTGCTTCTTGCTTCTTCTTCTTTTTTAGTTTGGACCATATTTAGCAAATGACAGAATTGGTGGCTCGCACTGGCCGCCAACAGCAACGTTATGAAGCCGGTTGCCGGCTGGTCGCGGGGTACTTTTCGCATCTTTCTCTTTATAGTCATCGCATGGTAATGTCCTGTGGGTAGTTTATGTTTTTACACTGCTTTCTGTTTGTTTGAATGCATGCATGGTGGGGTTTTTGTTTTTTATTTTATTGGAGGAATATTCGGCACTGCTGGTTTATGAATTGATATATTTTGATGGGTCTAGTTGATTTTTTGATTCTTTTGAATGGGTTGTTTAAGAAATTAAGAATCAATTATGTGTGTAAAATGTGAAGGATGAATGAAGAAATTAAATTTTATGGCTCATTTCATTTTTTTTACATGTAAATTTTTTTTGATGTGTTTATTGCTGATGATTTTATATGTTAATGGCATCAAAATGTGAAGAAATTAAATTTCCGGGGGCATTTTTTTTAATACGTTAAAATTTTTTGATGTGACTGTTGCTGATGATTAAGACTGTTGGTGGCATCAAAATTTGAATGATGGATGAGGAAACTACATTTTATTGTGCTTTTTCTATGATAAGAAATTTTGATTTGATTATTGCTAATGATTCTAGACTGTTAGTGAAATCTCTCCTCTTGTTATTTCATTTGCTTTTTTAAAGACTTGACTTTTATGTGCTGTCGAATCATTATGGGATTGTGATGTGATTGTACTTAGCGAAGCTTTAATCATTGTGTTCGAATCATTATGCAGAGTTTTGCTATGTTTTCTGTATATTAGTGGAAAATGGTTAGAAAAGGTGAAAAACAGAATGATAGTGCAATTGCAGTGTTCAAATGATATGTCCATACGAATAAGGTTTTTGACTACCTTGTGTTAAATTCCCCGACTTGGTTAGTAGATTTGACTGTTCTTGTAATTGATGACGGATCGTCAGTGCACCTGTACCGATGCTTTCCCGTGCAAGAAAAGGAACCGCCCCATATGGGCTCATTGCACCTACTGTCCGAGGGAGCACATGCTCCTGCTGTAATGAATAATTTCACTTGTTCGATTATGACGTCTAAATGGGAGTCTTTCATTGCTTGGATCCTATTCAATTTTTCTGCTCCTATGAGAAGGACAGACTTTTTCCCCATTTCCCATGGTTATTTTTCATCAGTTTCTACAAGAACCAATCATGGTTAAGTGTATAACTTGATAACTTAAAACACATGGTGATACAGGCTAGTGTTTATGGTGTGTGGACCCCTTCAACTAACGTTTAGTTGCAGATTGAAACCTCACAAGACACTACATTTGCCGGGGTTGATGAGTTCTGCACTCCTACACTACATTCCTGCAGAATCATTTTTCAAATGCACGCATTCTTTTAGTCAGAACAAGAGGGGACACTTAAAAATTATAAACAGTTCTCTTATTTGTTATTTTAAACACATATTTGAAATTAAATGACAGGATGATCATAGGCATTAAATCTTCTATATTAGTCATTTCTTTATGGAGAATCGGATGAGGGTCTTCTTTTTTCTAGCTTAAACATGTTTTCAATCATTTTTTAATTTGAATTAGTATTGTCGTTTGCAGGTGCATTCCTTTTAAGTACAGAAGCTTTGCGGACAACGAGGATGGCAAATCTGAGAAAGTTGTTGAGGTTTTAATGATAAACGCAAACAGTGGACCTGGTCTTCTCTTCCCGAAGGTATTTTATATGTAGAAGTAGATTAATGCATTTGTCTGACAAGAAAAATAAAAGACTTCAAGATGCTCCATTTATTCTTTTCTTTTTTATGTTATCTCCATTTGTTATTTGTTTCAAGTTCCCTTTTTTTTGGATTAGCAAAAATATGCTAGGCAAGGAAAGAAACTTTGACTTCCTTTAATTGCCTTGTCATTCATGACATGAATCAAGGTCATTCATAATATGGATTAAGTTCCAGGGCCAGATAAGTACAGTCACACACATGCACAGATAGTTTGTTCTTTACCAAAGAAGATTGAATAGGCAACGGAAGTCTTCTAGCTCTTGAAAATATGTGGTGGTAGTTTGTAAATCATACTGTTATAAGCTTGTTTTGATTAATTAGCTGTGAAGTAGCAATTATATGTAGTTGCAATTTTGTTTGCCATGATTTAGATTCAGTTTTTTATCGACATTTCCCTTCAATGTCATAAATGTAAAATGATGTTGGTATCTTTATGATTATAGGGTGGCTGGGAAAATGATGAAACTGTTGAAGAGGCAGCAGCACGGGAAGCTCTAGAAGAAGCTGGAGTTCGAGGTGATTTGCTGGTAAGAAAAAGTGAACTTATCCTCCCATTTGATTGTTCAAGGGAACTCTGATTTATGAATGGTTACTGCCATGTGCATTGGCATTAATGTGCTGATCTTTAGGTCCTAGGGCTGAGGAGAAACATGTGCAATGCATCAGAATGAATTAGATCCACGGATGATACATCTCTGTTTGTACTTCCGTTCTCATAAGGCATATCTTGTGGTTGTTCTAGATGGGTGCATAATTCTGAAGTACTAATTTAAACAAAGAACTTGATTTGTTTGCATAAATTGTTATTGAACTGTAATGTCAGTATTTCTTATTGATAATGCTTACTTTTTTGGTAACTTCACTTACAGTTTTTCTAGGTGGGTGCATAATCAGGAACTTCCATTTGTAATTGCTTAAAAGAAACTTGGTACGAGTATGTGTTTTTTGTTCTTCTTGTTTTTCATTACGATCTTAAATGCCTTACTGGACATTTGGTTTTCATTGCTTTAGAGAGATATCAGAGAATGGTTCTGCCATGATCAATCTTAGCTTAGCTCCTTTTCTGCATCTTATGGCAATCCCGCTTCTTCTTTTCTTGCGGCATGCTAAATGATCTGTCGTTCCTTTTGTTAATATTTAGGTCACTTTGTCTTTCAGCATTTTCTGGGACAATACGAATTCAAAAGTAAAACCCTCCAAGACAAGTTTAGTCCAGAAGGTTTGTGTAAAGCTTCCATGTTTGCTTTGCTTGTGAAAGAGGAGCTCCAATGTTGGCCAGAACAGAACACTCGACAGAGAAGTTGGCTTACCATTGCTGAAGCTGGAGAGTGCTGTCGGTATAAATGGATGAAAGATGCCCTCGAGGAAGGTTTTACAAAATGGCTTGATGATCAAATAGTTAGCAGATCAAAGAAAGCCAATGATGTAAATTCGTCAGCTTCATCTCCGGGGGAGCATTGAATAGGACCAAAAAAATGAAGATAAAGAGCATTCGAGTAGTTCATCCATGTAGAAGAAGCACCGGTCCGAAGGTGATTTTGGTGCTTTCCTCTCTCTCTCTCTAGGGTTAGGTATAGGACACTACAAATGCTTGTGCTTTCGGCATGCAGGGAGATGTTTACTGGAAATCTATTTTGGGTCCTTCTGTTCATTTCCTTGATGCTGCTCATTTCTTCGTTCTACATTGGTTAATGTGTTTCACAGAAAAAGCTCGCTTTCCATGAATTAGAGAAGCTAAGATGTAGGTTAATTTTTTTTCGATTCATGCTTCAGAGAATGAAACTGCCTTGCGGCCACACATGGCTGCATTCCTTGATCATTATAGGAGGAGCATGCATATTATCGCATCATCACTCTATTATTGTTATTACTATAATATTACTACTATTTCATCATCTACTATTTCTCCTCGTTTTCCGCCTTTATCACAGCCATAGCAATTACATTTATTAATTTTATTACCAATTGATGAAATTATTTTTTTAATCATTATTCTTTCGTTTCTTTTCTTTTCTTTTCTTTTTTAATCTTGAAAACAAGGCATTAAAAATTTATATTCTATTTCCTTAATTTCCGAACCTTCCATCCTCATAAGTCTTAATTTGAATATTTTTTATTTAATTTTTATAAAACATTTATATAAAAAAAATTGATCAGTTGAAAAATATTAACTTACAAAGTTCTATAAAATATTCTAAAAACAGTAATCCACTCACAATATCATCTAATATTAACAATCATTGTCATCTCTTTGTTACCATCATTAAATAGTTAGATTGTATTTTGTATTTATATTAAATTTGACGCTGAAATATTGCAATACAGATCTATACTTTCCATAAGTCATACCTAATAATCTATATTTGAAGTATAATGGAAAGATACAGGTAAATATGATAATTAGCGTATCCAGGAATTTGAATCAAATCAACTCATTCTTGTAAATATATAAAGTATTCCTCCATCACACTTCTTGACATCTCTTCTCACTGAAAAAAAATCAGTATTAATTGTTTGTCTTTTATCTCTATGCTACATTACCCCATCATTTAAGTACCACTCAACATCCGCCCTGTGACCTCCACCATGACCGTCATCATCACTAACAGCCCCTCACCGCCACCATTGCTATCTTCATCGTCATTTTTAGTACCGCTATGTTGTCGCGGTCACATGTTATTATCATTCTATTATAATGGTATTTTTTATATTGTTATTATTATTTACCAAGCATAATAAAATGTTTTCAGGAGAAACAAATACCCTCCTTCTTTGGGATTTCATATATTCTCTTTCTGGTTTCTTGCATCTCCTGAGGACCAAATCCTTATAATGCCGATGAAGTTAGCGTCACATGCGTGGTTTGACACTTGCTACTTTTCATGGAACCTAGGATGTCATTTTCTTGAACCAGAAAAACTGAGCGTGTATAGCACTTGGTCCGTCAAGGGATTAACCGCAACCTAATTAATCGGTTAACCAGAAAAAAATATAGTCACATGCATGCATCGGAAAATGATACATTGATTAAGCAAACTGGTTGATCAAGGGATTAATTAATTACGACCTAATCGTTAGTAAAAAAACAATACATTTAAAAAGTTTAACCTAATTGATTGGTACACCAGAATATTAATTGAAGAATGCTTGCTAGTCCTACAATAGACCAATGATTGGCAGCTGCGTGCCTCCTAAAAACAGAGGAAAATAGTCTTCCATGATCAATTTATTCAAACTTCCACCATGAGCTGCTGGTTTTACGGCCGTAAGCTAATTTGTTCAAAGCAAGATGCATAAAGGTATTGCTCTTGTGCTTGTTAAGTCATGAACGTGTTCTTGTTTTCGACCACCGGATTCAAAAGGGCATTACTGGCTTATCTGCTCCTGGCATTTAATTCCTCCATGATGGGCGAGGACGCAACGGTCTGTTTCCCCTTGCCTAGGTACAACTACGTGATTTTCAAGGATATATATTGTTTCTTTAAGTGTTTTTTAATTTTGAAAGTGTATTAATTTCTAAAATTTCCGATATTAAAACATCTAAAACACAACAAAAATTATTAATTTAATATTTTTTTCAAGTTAAATACAAAAATACAAAAACAAAGCTATACAACACCATTGAATGCTACAACCATGTAATTAATGTAAGATACACACACAAACCATGTTCTCAAGTCAGGAGGTTATGTATTTATGTTCACTTGCTGCTTCAACGACCACGTACTGATCTTAACTATCTGTTTACGTGGCAAGTGGAATCAATTTCTATGTTATCATCGTTAATTTTAGATTTGATTGTAAGGGGAGATGAGGTGAAAAAAAACTTCAAGATTATAAAAATTTGGATGTAAATAGCATGGCATATCTAATTAGATCCAACCAAACATATAAAACTTGATTAAATTCAGAATTTTCTGCTTATTTTATCTACTTTGACGTTGGAAAGGAATATTTATCTACATGACATTAATATTGCATCAATTAATAGTGTTAATTGGCTAATTTCTTAAACTAATTAAGCTTAATTCCTCTAATTCATATGTTAATGTAAACAAGGTCTAGAATAACTTTTGTTTTTCTCATCTAATTGTATTAATTTTTCTAAAGAAAAAAGGGATCACTCAGTACCCACAATCTTGAGTAGCAATTTCATGAGCAAGGAACATAAACAAGCCTGCTAGCTCATTTAATTCGTTGCCAACTTTAGAGATATTAATTCATTGTTATTTCAGCCTTCACATCACACTTATTTGGCTGACAATATTCTGAAAATAAAAACTGAGACGAATCAACCCGCTGTTATAACAATAAATTCAGTGGTGCCCTTGTCCTTCTTCCTCGTAGCCTGAGAAACACTAGCTGGAGGACTGCAAATTTTCTCCTTTTCCTATAAAGGAACCCACTTTGGGATCTTTAATTTAGTCACAACTCGGGCATAATTCTCAAGCCTAAATCAATCTCAAACCTTGTTCTAAAGTATTTTTTTGTAGCCACGTAGATTGAAAAATTAGTGTGGTAGCCTGATTATAAAACAAATTTCTAGCTTAATTTATCCCTCCTCACATATCAAGTTTTGAAGTACAATGAGTTACAAGGACGGGTACCTCTATAATGGCTTGTAGTTTTTTTTTTCCCCTATAATCTTATGAAACAGGTTTATTTCTCAATGATCAGCATGATGATGTTCAGCTTTTCTATAATTTTCAAATTAATTTTTGAACTTTTAACTTATTCTTCTTAATTCATGGTATACATCTCCATTTTTCAAAAGCTTAATCTAAATCACTTTTTATGTAAATTATACTTTTAAATTTTATTATTTTTAAGATATTTTCATGTCAAATAACCTTCTTATTTAAAAATTTAAATTTTTAAATATAATTTATATTATTTTTCAATATATTTCTTTAAATGAAAATTTTTAAAACTTTATACTATATCCTATTTAATTTTATTAAATAAAATAAAAATAATAAAATTAAAACTAGTAATCGCTTGATCAATAAAATTCTAGTAAAATATTAAAGAATCATCTCCTCAAAATCTTAGCTTTTAAATAAAATTATATAATATAATTTATATTATTTTTTAATATTTTATTGTATACAAATAAATTTAAAAAAGTCAACTTAAAATTTGTAAGTCATGATCTCGAATGAAATCTGTAGAGAGACTCGCAACTCGGTTTTATCATTTCAAAGCAAAAGGGAAGGCAGCTGGGAAAAGATATATGTCATGGTATAGAGAAGTTAATCTACTCATGCATCACAATTGCATTAAAATATGTGCTGTGTTCCAATTCGTAAGTGTTATTATCAATAGACAGGCCAGAAAAAATCTGAGTGTTCTTAGAAATCCTTGATAAAAAAGAATTTGTGGCTACCAATATTGTATTAAACTTTCACTAATTCCACATGGCACGTACAGAGTGTGGCTGGCAAGTGTAGAAAAAACAACTCCCCAACTCCAGTATGATGGCTGCTCAGAACAGTCGAGGTCTATTATGAGCTAGAGCTAGTTTTTTGGTTTTTTGCCTCAGTTTTTTCTCTCGAAAATACCCGTGCACACCCTGCAGATAAAAACGTCACTCGCGACAAAACAACCTGGCCGTGGGACACCTTGCCACTATTATACATGTCTTATGAGTTCATTCCCACTTGTCCACTGGGCTAAAAATAGGAAGGACTTGAGCAAGGCACAATAAATATAATTTAGAAAAAATGCATGCATGCATGCATGCATCCAAATAGAGAGAGAGTGTGTGTGATCTGCCCTTGTGTGGAAGAGAGAGGGAGTGCTAGCTAGCCAGTGGACTTTGTACAGTCTCTTCCGATCCTCTCCGGACAGATAACAGTAATCTTTTCCTAAACTGGATTCAATGAACCCCTAGAAGGTAAGAGAGAAAAAGAAATGAAGTTAGACAAAAGACAAGTCCTAATAAATCTCCAAAGCTAATCGTACATTGAAAGTGGGAACCAAGCTATGCTCGCAAACAACTACAGTGCTGTGCCGCATTATCTGGGCAACTTTCCCTGTGGATGTACAATAAATCTATCTCTTGGCCCAGCTAGCTAGCAATCAGATCATGAATTCATTAATTTATCATTGCTCTGCTGGAAATTTGAGGCTACTTAATTTCAAGCAAATAGTATAATTAATTTACTATATTGTATTATTTTTTATTCCCTTGATTAAAATATCTTGATCACTTGGACGAGGTTTCACCATCAAAATCTTAATAGCTTTTGAGGATTCCTTGGAAGAGGCACAAGTTGAACCATTAACTTTTTATTTAGGTCCCTAGGTAACTGTATTTTCAACAGAGAACGACCGCTCAAGATTGATTTAGGAGTGTTTGGATTCATTGTTGGATCTTCCATATCCTAGCTAGCTATAGCTATTATTTTCTGCTTGGAGCTTTTGTGATGGACCTTGCTTGTTTCTATATATTTTGTTAATAAGATCAAAGTAAGTTGGGTCCCATAACAATGTTTCTTGCACTTCTCCTAGCTCGGATCTTATGCTTGAATCTTCAGCACAACTTGTAAGAGATCTTACTCAAATTAAACACACTTGAAAGTTAAGTAATTGGTACTCGTAGAGATAAAGGAAGCAAATTGTTATTAGCATGAACACTTCTTGCTAGCTAGTTGCAATCCCCTTCAACATCAAATTAACTACATCGAGCAATGTTAATTTCCCCCACAAAGAGACATGAACTACATGATTAATCACATATTACATGGAACAACCATACCACAGATAACAACAGAAGCCACCAAAGAGAGCTTAATCAAACTATATTGCAAGGCTTCTCACCATATCCATATGAGTAAGCTTCGTACCATGAATTTGATGGCATTATTCCTGCAACATTCTCTAACATTTGAGGCATGAAAACGTCATCGAAAGACTCAAATGGAGCATCTTGTCTTTCAGGCTGCTCTTGACTAGGATCCTTTGTGGGGACATCTAGTGCATAGTGATCATCAACAACAGTTTTTGAAGCATTTGAAACCGTTCGACTATTTCCACCGACACCATGATCATCATCGTCCACAATCTTAGTAGGGTCTGGCAATTCAGAGTCTTGGCCGGTGAGTTCTTGAACCAAAGCCCTAAATCCAGATGCACTTATCTTGAACTTCATAGGGTTGGATATGTACACTACTTTCATAGGCTTTTTCTTGGTTCTGGCTATTTTTGTTCCCTTTCTTTCTTGCACACCACCACCTACCAGGTCAATATGATTGCTGTTCATGACTGTAATGGCTGGATAAGCTCTGAGATCAAAAGGGTGGCAGTATATTTACCTATAAAAGAGATTCTTGAGGCTGCAATGCAAAGGAGTTTTATGGGAAAGAAAAAGGTGGAGAGAGAGAGAGAGAACTTGATGCTCAGAACGGAGAAGTTCTGATGATGCAAATTGAAGCAAACGACAAATCTTTGGGTGAGAATACGAGTACCAACCGCGACACAGCACGTCTCCATTACTGCCTCCACAAGAATATAGATTTTTTTTTTCAAAAACCAATTGATGCTGATAAATAGTATATATTTTGAGAGGACTAACGACAAAATACGTTGTTGTGAGTTTCATATGGATGGATAAATAAGATTATAAGACGATATTAATGGTTTTCTCAGGTAAATCCAAATTCTTAATTTTAAAATTAATAATTTGAATTTTTCACAAGTAAAATAACTATTATTTAAAAAAATATAATTACTTGATAATTACCCTTTTAATTTTAATATCTCGAAACAACTTTCACGTAATTAAACTATGTATATTTTGATAAAATTTAAATATATTATTTAAAGTCATATATATAGATATATATGTTGTAAATCAAATTAATATAAAAATTTATTATTTATAATATTGTTTAGAGTTCAAAAGCCAATGATAATGTTGGGAGTATATTCAAATATTCATCTTGCTTCATGGATCTAGTTTTCCCTTGATTTTCGCTACTAATTATAGATCATCAATCAAATATCATTACACTTACACTCGAGTCAATTATGTGATTAGTTAGGAAGACAGCGATAGACGTGCTCACACGCGCCAGAGGTTCACGTGAAAGCTATGGGCTAGCGGGAGCTTGGAGTTATCTGTATGCCGATAATTCCACCACGTGGCGTTCACCAGAAGGCTGGTTAGATGTGTATGACGTCATCTCATCCTCCTGTGATGACATCATGGCGGTAGCCGGCTTGATTGGGCTCGGCTTCATTAATGATCCAGCGTTGATCATCACCACCATTGGTCATAGAACCTCTAGTATTAAGTGGCTGTTTCATACTGTTGGGGCTTCTGCTTAAAAGTCAATCACATAAAATAATTATTTAGTAATAATTAAAATATCATTTAATGTTTATAAATCTCATTATTATTTTGTGTTTGAAATAAGGAAGAAGAGCAGCGATTTTCGCTGCTTCTCCTGGGGGGATTATTTTTTATTGATTTTTTAAATGAACAGTGATGAGTAATTTTACTATTTATATAAATAATAAAGTATCTTTTTATTATTTTAGTAGGATTAGGTTTGGTGCGAAAATAAATATATTAAATTGAGTTTGATGTAATAAAATAAAAAAATTATTTTTTAATTTTTAATTATATTTTATTTAAAAAAATAATGTTTAACATTATTCAAAAACACTGTAAAAATTAAACAGAGATCACTTAATAATGTAACATTTATAAAATTTAATCACAATTTCAATGTTATTCCTAATTATATTTTATCTAATGTTGTTGTGTTCTTATTTTTTTAAAAAAACCAAGAAAACTATAGTATTTACCGGATGTATTTTATACGTGATAGAACTGTATATAATTTAATGGAACACTAAAAAATATTTATATAAAATGTTATTTAATTCATGATATAATAACAACAGTTAAGTCTATAATATTTAAATTAAAAATATCAATATATATATAATCTTAATTTTAAAAATATTCTTAACTAAATAAACTATTTTTTATTTTATTTTAATTTTAATCATAATTTTAACCTAGTACACATAAATAATAAATTAATTTTAATCAAAAATATTTTTATAAGATATTTTTTTTAAAATGATAATTATGAAAGCTACGGTAAAATTAAATATACTCTAAATTTCTTGTGTTTTACATTTGGCATCTAAAGAGGCATTTAGTTTCAAGTAGTCTCAAATTTCCTTACTGAAAATATTTTGAATGTGAGAATTATTTATGTTTGTTTCGTTATAAAATATTAATTTTTCAAGTGATTTAATGTTTTTTTAATATCATATTTTCTCAAAACTAGAGAATGCGTTTTTTCAAGGGAAATCTAAGCATTCTCTAGCGATTGAAAACTTTATTTTATTTTTTAATACTTAATCTCTCTTATCTTTTATTATTTTATTCAATATTTTAGTTTTTTCTTTCTTTCTAAATTTAGGTTTATTCTTTGATCTTGTAGAAGTTAAGTCATCAGGGTGTAATAGTAAACGTCTTTGAATTTCTCATGAATCCCATACATAAACCAAACATAATAAATACATTTCACTAAAGTCTTTTATTTTTAATCAAACAAAAATATAATATTTGCAGCAATTACATTTTAAACAAACAAATTTTTTTTTCAAAAAGACATAAAAATACACATACAAAATTCTCCTTTAAATTTAAGTCAACATTTTTATAAAAGCTCTTCAGCATGGTTGTTTAATTTGAAGAAAGCGTGAGAAGAAAAATGAGCTGCTTATACCTAAATGCTTATAAATTTATTTTTCAACAGTGTAAGTTTGTTCTTCGAACTTATAATTAACTAATTAAGTTAGTAAATGTCGGTAATTTTGTCAATTAAGAAATGGTAGTATTGTAATATATATTAGCTTCCAATGTTCATATAACATATGATAAAATAGGAGATTAACCCCTGTCTTTCTCTTTCTCTCTTTCTTTTTTTTTGTGATTAACGTGGGGTGTCCGGGCCAGCTTGCGCGCACCACAACTAATCCCCACGGCCCACTGAATACCCTGCAAACCCAGCAGGCAGGTAAGGCAGCGCGGGGCTGACAGGCGTGTAACACCAGGACTCGAACCCATGCGCAGCGGAAGGAGCGATACTCCTGCCATCACTAGGCCAAGCTCCTCGGTGCTTCTCTCTCTTTTTTATTAGAGCGACAAGTAGTTTGTTAAATAATTCATAATTATCCATAATTATATATATAAATACTACTAAAAATTTGATAAATATAAACAAAAATACTAGGAAAAGATTTTTGTTGGTAAATTGCTGACGGCTTTACCAACAGAAATATTTCCTAAGTATTTACCGAAAAATTACAATGAAAAAAATAAAAAAATAAAAACAAAAAAAATGATGGCGTGTCCTTTTTTATCAAAAGAATTAATTTTATTAGTAAAATCATTGGTAAACTATGAAAATTATTCATCATGTCAATTATAAAAGGAATCACTAACGGAATTTTCAGTTGATATTTTACTGAGAGCTCTGAAATTATTCACTTTTTAATTGTTCTGTTAATTATTGTTCTTTATAGACAAAATCACTGATAGATTAAAAATTCATCAATGTTATTTTGTAGTTTTCTAAAAAAATTAGGTTAAATTAAATATTACAAACAAAATCACAGATGAATTGAAAATTCATTGGTGATATTTGACAGTTTCTAAATTTTTTTATTAAATTTAAATTTTAAATTAAATATTATAAATGAAATCACAATGAAATAATAAAAATATTAATATTTAATTATCTGTTGGTAAAACGCTCTAATAAAAAGTTTAGAATCTCTAATTTCACAACAAACTCGTCTCCTTTCTTCTTCTTTTCTTCTCTCCTCAATTATTTTTCTTTTCTTCTTCGTGCTTAGGTATGTCTTCTTCTCCTTTCTTATTTTTTCTTTTTAGTTCTTTTAATTAGTATATTTTATGAATTTTTTTAGCTTTATTTGCAACTACATTTAAAAAAAAATTCTTCTTTTTTTATTTTTTACTATATTTGTTTTCATTTTATTTTTAATTGGTTTTGTTCTTAATAATTGTATGAATGTTGTTATAGGATCTTTTTCATATGAAATCAATTTTTAGTTAATTTATTTGTAGGATTTTTAAATTTTTTTCATATGGTTTTTTTTGTTGAATTTATTTTTTCATGTTATTTATTTGTTGCAAGTCTGTTTGAGTTGATTTTCTTCTTCTTTTTTCTAAGCATTTTGAGTATTATAGAGTGTTGATTAATATTAATTTAATTATTTTATAGTTTTGTAAAATAGATTTTTTAAAAAGATATTTTTAAATAATTGCTGACAGAATTACATACGATATTTTTTTAGAGGAGTTACCAATGAAATAAATCGGGTAATTTTTTTTGCTCATCTTTTTATCAGTAAATCCATCAATAATAATATTTTTATTACCAACAGATTTATCGACAGACAAAAAATTACCAATACACGATTCATCAACGAAGTATTTCCGTCTGTGATTCTGTTGAAAAATTAATTACCAACAAAATGGTAATGCAAATACTGATAAAAAATTTCGTTTATAAATCTTAAAATTATGGTAGTGAAAATAGTATCAGTACTAATGTATATTCAATATTATATGTAATGTTACCTCTTGAGAAAAAATATGTATGAATGAAATTATTGATTTTTATCACTAATTTTGTTTTTTTTTTCAATTATATTTCTTTACATTTTCTCTTATCTCATTTATAATACAATGATTTTATTTTCATGTAAACAATCATTCAACTTTTCAGGAATCTTCTTCAAAATGACTAATATCTTTTGATCAACACACTCGATTATTACAAAACAATATATGTTAATTTCTAGAAAATAGGTTTTTCCATTAAATTATCTTGTTAGCAATAAGAAATTTCTTAAAATTCTTGTTAGTTTAAATTTGGTGGGGAAGGCTCTGCCATCTATAATAAGACAATAAATACCAAAAAAACTCATGAATAAAGAGCATTTCACAAGTTGTCTTATGGACTTTAATTCTAAATTGGGCTTATTATATGTTGTCGCAATGTATTACAACCGAGAAAGCACAATTTCAAGTCAAGAAAAAGAAAAAGAAAAGGAAACGGTTGTTGTGTGTGTGTGTGTGTGTGTGTGTGTTTCTCTCTCTCTCTCTCTATATATATATATATGTATATAAAATATGTTCTAGCAAAATTATCTGCAGTGCTGAGACGAAAACTCAACTCACTCCCAAAAGTCATAATAATGCACTTGATATTGACAGTCTAGTGATCGCCATTGATCCACATGGGATTTTGTTTCGCTCCAAAACGCCTTCAAAGCATTATCTTATCGTAGAACTTGTACCATAAATGACTTGGCTAAATTAATACGTACGAGTCTTGTCTTTTTCATGGTCCTAACTCTCTTTTTTCCATTGCCACCACCATTCAATGGCCATTAATTTTCCGTAA